TTTTTTGTTGCTCTCTTCTGAATAAATTGCAGTGTGGCACCCAAAACAAAATCAGAGTACTTTAGTAGGATCTGGCCATATCACCTCCCTTCCTCTAACTGCTGTACTTCTCTTTATTCAACCTCAGATTGTGATCACTTTTTTAATGGCTAGTGACTGGTCTTACTCTCAGGCAAAGCCTATAATCTTCTGTATTTATAAGCATATATCAGACAGAAAAAGAGAGGGTATGTGTATCAGGAAATCTGAACATACTGAGAAGTCCTAGTATGCTTCCAGTTACATCTCACTGGCCAGAAATGAACCATATTTCCAGTCCTAGATGCAAGAACATTTGGGAAGATAAGTATTTTAGTTGGTCACATTGATACTCCATATACATCAGGATTTTGTTACTGAGTAAATGAGAGAATAGACATTGGGTAGACATGTGGCAGTTTCTGTCTTATTTATTCATTTGAGAAAGTTTCCTTCCTACTTTCTTTTTTTTTCAATGAATGATGGTTTAATTTCATTGTATTTTTTTTTTCAGTATTTGTGGAAATTTTTCTCTTTTAATTTGCTATTATGGTGAATCACATTCACAGATTGTTCTCACATTACGCCATTCCTGATCATGATATTTTTGCTTTCTTTTAATCTACTGCGAGGCTTTGTTTACCGTATTTTATTAGAATTTTTCGTCTATGTGCATAAGTGAGAGAGATTTATAATTTTTCTTTTTCTTTTCTAGACCATCCATCTAGTTTGGTTTTCGAAATTCTACTATCTTCATAAAATTGTTTGGGAAGCTCTCTCCTTTTCTATTCTCTGGAACAGTTTGCATATAATAGATTTTCTCTTCTCGGGGAGCCATCTGGGCCTGATGCCTTCCCTGCATGCTGTGTGCATGTGATGCTTGTATGTAGATTTCTTTATGAGGGATTTGATTTCTTTTGTTATAGATCTGTTCAGAGCACTTAATTCTTCTTGAGACCATTTTGGTAATTTATATTTTTCTAGGATATTGTCCACTTAGTCTATCATTTAATTGTTTATAGAATTCTCATAAGAGTTTTTAATCTCTTCATCAATAGCTATGTCTCATTTTTTCATTTCTAAAATATTTAAATGCCTCTCAGTTTTCAAGGTTGTCTCTTATTAGTTTTTTTTTTTTTTTTTTTTTTGCAGAAGATTAGCCCTGAGCTAACTACTGCCAGTCCTCCTTTTTTTGCTGAGGAAGCCTGGCCCTGAGCTAACATCCGTGCCCATCTTCCTCTACTTTATACATGGGATGCCTACCACAGCATGGCGTGCCAAGCGATGCCATGTCCGCAGCTGGGATCCGCACTGGCGAACCCCGGGCTGCCCAGAAGCAGAACGTGTGCACTTAACCGCTGCACCACCAGGCCAGCCCCTGTCTCTTATTAGTTTTATTCAAAGAATCATCTTTTAGTTTTATTAGTTCTCTCAAGTTCATTAATTTCTCTCTTTTTATTATATTTCCTTCATTTGCTTCCTTTGGGTTCCTTATTTCCTGACTTGATTGCTTAGTTCTCAACTTTTCCAGGTTTCTTACTCTCTAATATATGCATATGAGAGTCCATGGTTAGTCAGCTCACTAATTAGCACTTTTTGGATCTGTTTGTTCTGAGTTACTAATGTACCTAATTGTCCTTACTTCCTGCCCGGCTCTCTCCATCCGGCCCATGGAGACATCATGAGATATTCGGCAGCTGCCTCGTCAGAGTCCAGGTGCACCACCTACCACGTTTCCCTGGCTCATTCATCTTGATAATCCTGCCAGAGGGAAAACGGAGGGTGGTCTGGTCTGAATGGTCTTTAGTTCCTGTAATCACCGGCTTATCTTCTAAGCATTTGCCAATTATCCTTTTAGCATTTGCTTATGCACCAGTGGTAGAAAATCTACCTTTTTTATTTCTCAGATATCAACAACAGCAATTCCCGATTCTATTTGCAAAATCCTTTCTCTGAGTGCGGTGGGTTCCAGCCAGCTCGGGACTGAGGGTTCTGCGCGCCATCCCCCTTTCCAACACCTATGCTACCCTTTTTAGCCTGAAATTTATTCTCCTTGACGGAAAAGACCAAAGTCAAATGGGATTTTGAGAACTTCTGATGTCTGTGTGTCCTTTCCTTTCCTTTCACTAGAAATTGAGCTAAAACAGCATGTGTGTTTGGCCTTGAACTGTTTTGACAAACTACAGATCATTTCAGTCTTCAGTTTTTCTGCTGCTCTTCTTACAGGCTGCAGACACCTCCCGCTTCCCATTTTAACAGGTGCATTTCTAACCGCGTCTCATTGAAGATCTCCCAGTGACGCTGAACTTCTCTTACCCTCTCTACTCTCAGTCTCTTCATCTCTAAAATAACAGGGTGGGACTGCGGATCTACAAGGTGCCTTCCCAGCCGTAGAAACTGGCCGGTCCTGTAGGAAAGCAGACTGTTCTGTGAAGCCCTCTGTGCCTCCATCTCTGAAACCCATTGACGTTCCTCGCATCCCTAGGGAGCTTTTTGTGCTAGCTGTGAATTCTGTTTCAAAGCAGGAAAAAAGAAAAGGGCTGAGATGAAAAATTATACTAGTAAAAGATTTTTTTTTTCCCCTCAAAATGGGAAAAGGAATTTGAGAGGAAACCTCTGAGGGGAAGCGTAGGGGCACTGGAAGGAAGCCTCATGTCAGGAGTGTGTGTCCTGGGGTCACATCCTGCTTGTCTGTCTGTCAGGTGTTCTGTGTGGGTGCTGCTCACCCTCTGAGCCACTGTTTGGTCTGTGACTAATCAAAATCTAGGATTTCAGTTTAAAGGGTAGATGTGAGGGTGAAATAATGATGTGCAAAACACATGTAAAGTACTACCTAGCACTCTACAGACTTAGGGAGCTCTTATTACAGTAGAGATTCCGTTCTCCCTTCTTGTACAAAAGGAAAAATGATAATGCAAGCAAGTTCATGCTACTTTATCTTTTGGAATCAAAATGAAAGTTTTGCAGTGAGCTGCTTTTTCTCAACTGGATTGTAGAGCTTCTCTGATTCTCCGCTCCATTGCAATACACAGGAAAGCCTTCCTGCAATGTAAAGCGCCATTCAGATGAGAGGTGTAATTGTTTTTATTGTTCACATGTCACAGGGTTTTTTGTCTGTTATCTGCTCACTTTTCAGCATTTCACAAATGTGAACTCAAACACGCAGTTCATTTTCATAACAGAGGTTTCCCGAGGAATGAAGCGGATGATTGTCTAAAGCAAATGATTGGTCTTTTCTTTAAACAGTGCATGTGCAGGCATGAGCCAAGTTCCCCCAGAGGCAACTTGAGACTTCCAAATCAAGATTACAGAAAGTAGATTTCCCACCACTCTATGGCAAGACATCAGACCGGATATCCCAACCACGTGAGAATTTGTCCTTGAGCCCAACATAATGGGTCAAATACATGTTCTTTCTCAGTGGCCCACAACCTATCTGTGTGAAATATTAATTTGATACGCCGTTGCAGACACAAATCAAGCATGTTACTAAGCTCACTGTGAGTTGTCTATTCAAAAAGAAATGCTAACTTGGTGAATAATTTCCTTATAGCTTTTCACCAGCTTCTCTCCTGAGACCCAAGCTTTCAACTCCTTGCTGGACACCTGCCCTTGGATTTCCCACTATACCTCAAACACTTGTCTGAAATTGGATTCATCATCATCTTCCCCAATTCAAATCTTTGAACTGTGTTCCCTAGAACCATGCTCCCATTCACCCAGCCTAGAAACTTCGATCTCATTTGGGACAATTCCTTTCTTTCTATTCTCATTTCTTCAGTCTCTCATCTCCTCCAGATTAGACTAGACAACTAGAGGAGTCTTTCAGTTGTGTTCCTGTACAGGTTTCCCTTCTTTCATTGTCTGGCTTCTCCAATATGCTTCTCCGTCATGCTGCCCCAGAATTTTCTGCCCATGATACAGGTTGGGACATGCCATTTCTTTGTGGGCTATCACCTACAAAGTAAATTCTGTACTCCTTGGCATAGAAGTCAAGACTGTTCATCACTGGTTCTTGTTTCATTAGTTGGGAAATATTCATTCAATTGGAGGTAACAAGATACTCAACTAAAAGTGACTTAAATAATGAGAAATATTTATTTTCTTACCTAACAAGAAATCTAGAAATCTCAGGATCCAGATCTGGTTTATTCAGCAGCATAGCACAAATACTCAGGTGTTTTCCAACTTTCTGCTCCATCATCCTCAGTATGTTGGCTTTTGTCCTCAAGCTTACCAGTACCTCATGAGCTCCAGATGGCTGCCACAGCTCACACGTCATATCCTCCCTCTCATAACCATGCAGAAAAAGTACATTTCCTCCTCTTAAGGAAAACCTTCCCGTGAGCCCCCTAGCATATTTCCCTTTGTATATCAATGACCAGAATTGTATCACATGCCCATGCCTACCAATCACAAGCAAGGAGATAGAATTATGATGTTTGGCTTATACAAATAAGTATTCACATCTTGAAATCAGGTTTCTTTCAGCGAGAAAGAAAGGAGGAAGAGGAAGGGATTTGGAATGGCTACTATTAGCGTCTGCCAGGGTTTATCCTCAGCGCTTAACCCCATCCACACACCGCAGGCCCCTGGTCACTGGAATTATCACCATTCCAAGAATTCAGCGTGTGTTTCATTTTTCCATGCATTCTCTCTTTCCTTATCATTTGCCTGCAATGCCTTTCTCTGCCTTTCCACACACTCAACTCTTCACAGCCTGTTAGGTCCCAGCTGCTTCTGATAGACGAGGCAGCATTAATCCTCCTCCAGGCGTTGTGTTTATGGTGCATTCCTCACTTTTGTTTCTTTCTGCCCTTGTTACTGCCATACATAGCTTCTATTCTAGTAGATTATAAGGCCCCTTATTTTAGTCAGTCTTTTCCTTCCCATGGCCTTTATCTCAGTCCCTTGAATCTACCAATAAATGCTTGCTAAATAAGGTTGAATGTAAATTAACATGACACCTGTTTGGTTCGCAGGTCTGTGCTGCCAGCATAGTCTCCCAGGATGGCGAACAGAATGGTCTTATGGGGAGAGTGGATGAAGGTGTAGATGAATTTTTCACCAAGAAAGTGACCAAAATGGATTCCAAGTGAGTTCAGAGTCATTTCACTAATACCATTTAATTCACATTTAAATTGCTAATAGTTACAATTAAAATCTAGTATACTAAGGCTCGTTTATTTTGTAATTTTTTTAATGGGATTTACTATTTTGATGGTCTGCAAAATGTGCTCTCCAGGCCAGCAATATCCCTATCAATTGGAAACTTGTTAGAAATGCAGAGTCTCAAGTCTCTAGCCCAAACGCAAATTGCTGGGGCCCAACAATCTGTGTTTTGTAAACCTTCCAGGGTGTGCTGAGGCTTGCTGCAGTTTGAGAACCATTGTACTATGCTAAAGCAGACTGCAAAATGTACCTCCCCTAGGTATTTTTGAGGGCTTTATCACATTCACCTGGATGATTCTATTACAGCACCGTGAGCTCTGACAGCTGAAATTACTTACTTTTAAATTCTGCTTGTTTGTAATTTGATATATGTAAGGACCCTACAGCATTGCTAAATGGCACAACCTCAACAGCGTCAAAATGACCACAGAATTAGTGAAGAGGCTTCGGAGTTAACCTCTAGAAAGTTCTGTCTGCATTTTCTTATTACTAGGTGGAGTTTCCTTAAAGGACAATTCAGTGGTACTTTTATTGACAATTTAACTTAAAACACTCCAGTCTTTAAACGTGATTCGTACCAAGTTATTTAATCCCCAACTACATGCAGATCCATCCCAAAATATTCTCTTAACGTGGATTTGCTTCTGTGAAGTATTCTTCACCTTGAGATATCAAATTCAGGAACGAATTTAAACCAGACTGATAAGCCGAGGGTGGGCAGGCAGGGCACAGAGAGGAAAGAAACTGGTCCATTCATAGATTGATGAGCCTTATCTTGCCTCAGCAGGATGGTGAGGTGAAAGTCAGTTAAATTTTTATATCCATAACAGTATAACTTACTGAATGTTATAAGCTTCAGGACCCAATTATTTGTCTTCTTTGACACTGGCCTTGAAGCTTGGCATACTATACTTGGAAAAATTCTATTCGCCTATCTTTCAAGAACCTAAATGTCATTTAGGCTTTGAAGCTTTTCCATGTCTGCCCCCCTACTCCCAATTAATTGCTCTTTCTCTGCTGCTGACTCAACACTTTCTTTTTCCATCCTCTGCATACATCTGTTAGAGCACACATACTCCTTCAAGAGTTTGTTTGGTTTTAAATTTTTTTACAGTGCAAGGAATGGCTGAATATATTCTCAATGTAAAAGGTTCAAGCAATGCCAACATAAACAGTAAAATGAGAAAATCTCTTATAATGATTTGCTTTCAAGTCTTTTTTTTCCCATAGAGTGCTGTTCTTCAGAAGCAACACCTGGGTCTTATTTTTCATTGTAACTTTGATGTCTGACACAGCCTGTAATATATAGTCTGCCTTCAGTCACTACTGGTTGAATGAATTGAGACAATCTTGGCCTGTACCCCTATAAACTACAGACACCACTGTAGGCTCGCGTCTTTCAAAACTTTAGAAATTGATATTTACATAGTGGAGAGGTTTATCTACACATTTGATCAGGTCCATAAGTGTTGTTACACTTGCCCCAGTGTGATTTCCTCTGCCCTTCATGCTGCCGCCTCCTTTAAAGGAAGAAAGAACAGAACAGAATGGAAGCTGGGCACATTTTATAAGGTGTAAAATCCACCTTCTGCAAAGATACTGCTCTAGGAGGATTCCATTCATCTTCCAGTGCACAATTAGAACTCGATACATCAATTTTCATCAAATAATGATGGAATCTACTAGAAGTTGAGATTTTTTTTCCATTTCTTTTTTTTAAAAAGATTTTATTTATTTATTTATTTTTCCTTTTTCTCCCCAAAGCCCCCTGGTACATAGTTGTATATTCTTCATTGTGGGTCCTTCTAGTTGTGGCATGTGGGATGCTACCTCAGCGTGGTTTGATGAGCAGTGCCGTGTCCGCACCCAGGATTCGAACCAACGAAACACAGGGCCGCCTGCAGCAGAGCACGTGAACTTAACCACTCGGCCACAGGGCCAGCCTCCCATTTCTTTTTGTTACATAAAAACAGATTATTGTCAGTCTATATGTAAAGGGCTAGGCATAGGTAAAATCAAGTTGTATGAAGAACGTTTGAGAATCAAAGTTATACACGCTCATGGTTGAAAATGTGAGATGTTCTACAAGGCTTTTTCAAAAAAAGAAAAAAGGGCCTTGTTTCTTTCCCTACTTACTATTCCCCAGAGGCAATTACTTCCTATTCCTCTAGCTGTTTACTTTTTATTTTGCTTCCATATTCCTTAATAACATCTTTTCCTGCTATTTCCTATTTTTCAGTTTTATGTAGGCACTATAAACACTGAGCCTACTGTCCACCAAAAACACACACACATGCATGTACACACACACACACACACGCACTTCTCCTCTCCCCATCTTCTTCTTTAGTTCTGTCATAATTGTTGGTGACGTCAATATTTAATGTTTTCTTCATTATAACACAGCTAAGATTCACAGCTAAATATTCACGGCTGTGATGTATGTAGACTATGACCACATTGTCTTCCTTATGCAACTTTGTATTGTCCCCAGAGTTAATAACTGTCGCCTTTTGCTTAGTTTTCTGGATTCCTATCACTGACGTATTCCTAAATCTCCAGTAAAGATGTAAATCTCTCAATTTCTTTAAGTATTCTCAGTTTCCTCTTCTTGGACACATCCTTCACTGCTGTCTGACCAACTCCAGCGTCACTGCTCGGCTGTTCCTCTGCAGTCTTTCCAGGATCTCCCTTCATTGTCTGCCTGCACCTCCCTTCACCTCATTCCTGTGTCCTTTTCCTGTCTCCTTTGGTCCCTGGCCTCTTCTTCCTTACTTTACTCCCTTGTTTTGGTGGAGCACCTCCTCAGGTTGCTTCCTGAGGAAGGAAGCATGGGAGGTGAGTTTCTGAAACTCCTCTGTCTTTCATTTTGATTAATTGTGTGAGTAGGTATAGAAGTTTAGGCTAGAATCCATTCTCCCTTAGAATTTTGAAAACCTAGTCCCATTATCTTCTAGCTTCTAGTGTTGCTAGAAGAATTCAATGTCACTTTGAGTCCCAAGCTTTTGTTTGTGACTTGTGTTTGGTTTTTTCCTCTGGAAGCATTTGGGGGTTTCTCTTTGTTCCCAGTATATTGAAGTTTTATGGAAATTTTATGGGTGGATTTTTTTGTTTGGTTTGGTTTTAACCCATTTGCTACACACTAATGAGCCATTTTACTCTGGAAATTCGGGTTCTTTGATTCTGGAAATTCTTTTTTGAATTATTTCTTTTATAATTTCTTCCCTTTCTTTTTCCTGTATTCTTTTTCTTAAACTTCCATTATTCAAATTATGTGTTTACTCTGTTAATCCACTAGGTTTTTTTGGTTTTGGGTTTTTTTTTTTTTTTTTTTACCTGTTCTCTCCTATTTTCTCATTCTTTTTAATTCTGCCCCCCTTCACTTTCTGGGAGATTTCCTCAGTTGTATTTTCCAACCTTGAGTTTTCCACTTCTGCTCTCTCCCTTTTCTGTTATTCTTGTTTCATGGATGTAACAGTTTTTTCTCTTTCACGTTGAAATGGAATGGAGCACTCATGAGTTTCTTGGAAGTTTGTGAGTGGGGTTTGTTGAGAGGTATGACTCAATGTAGGGTGACCTTCTTGGACTATTTTGTTGGGGAGGCAGGGCTCCCTGACTGACTGAATCTTTAATCTTGTCTCTTGGACTTCTTGGAAAACTTGATCTCTTGCCTGGAGGGCGTAAACCTGGCTGCCCCATTCGAAGGGATCCAGAATGAAGGAAAGGAGCTGGGTGGTATCACTGTTCAGTATGCAGACTTTCCTGTGTAGGAGAGGAAAAATAATTTTCCCTCTACTCTTCTATGTTCTTGGCTGAGACACCCCTGTAATAAAAAGATTAACATGAGAGAAACAAACAGAAGTTTAATAAGATGTATACCTTCTGTGTACATGGGAGACACCAGGAAAACTGAGGGACTCCTCAAACTGGCCCAAGCCACCACCTTAAATACCATCTCCAGCTAAAGACGAAAGAAAGATGTTTGGGAGGGGGAGTCAGTTTTGGGAGATAATCCAGAAAAGGACAGTAAAAAGGGTAAAGTTGTTATGCAGAATTACGTCCTTGCTTTCTCCATTGATAAGTTTCTAGAGTTTTATTCATCCTCCTCTTCCTGGTACAGAGAGTGGGGGACACCCTTACAAATGGAGATTTCCCTTATAAATGTCTCTTACAAAAGGGTAAGTTCTACTCAGTTTTCAGAACTTCTCCTGTCTGCTGTTTCTTAAAAATAATCAGCCTAAAATAATCCTTATGCCAAAGAGGCATATTTGGGCATGGCAAATTCTGCTCTCCTTCCCTGAACTTCCCTGTTTTCATGATGGTCACAATTAGCTCAGCTGCACCTGCTGTCCCTCAGCTCAGAGATTCTTTGACTCATCCTGCCTGGAGGATAAACTTGGGGTGGGATGGGGCAGTCTTGGGCTCTGTGGTTTGGGGCGAGGATCGAACAGTTTGGTGAACAGGCTTTCAACCTCTCTTAAGCCCCACCTTCACTTCTGTTCCCAGAGGGGCTTGTTGCTCCTCGTTCTGGAGCCAGTGCAAATCCATTTGCTTCTGGGTCTCCACTAGTAACGCTTTAGCGGTCAAGCTTTCCCAGAGCTCCTAAATCTCTTGTCACTCATGACTATTTTGGCTTCCAAACTTTGTTGTTTTTGCCTTTCCTCCCCCTGAGGCTTATGCTTTTTTTTTTTTTAAATCCCTTACTGTGATTGTATTGGCAACTCAGGGAACTAAACAGCGTTCAGTCTGGCAGCTTTCTATGAAAGGCAGTGATGATGCCTCCCGCTCAGCCCGTTTTGTTGACTATTCTCCCCATCCATTGCCCAAGTTTCTGAATATTCTCTGACAGCCCTCTACCAAAGTTCACTGTCTATCTGTTCGCTTTGTTGCTCTTTGTCAGTGGTATGACATTTAAGCAGGGACCCAAATCTTTGTTTGGGTTGAACACTAAGAGTGGGGTTTCACCTAGTATCTAATGATTCTGGAGGGATTTAGAGTATTATGGAGAAATCTAGTCCTGTCTAGTACCCGCCACATTAAATGAGGCAGTGGCCCACCTGTCTTGAGTGGGGCCAGCTTTGTTGGGAGTTTTTACAAGTGGAGAGGCACTTGACTAGAGCCTTTCAATATGAAAAAACTCACCTCAGCTCCCAGTCCTACCACCAGTGCCTTCGGATTCTCATTCTTAATTTGTGTGTGCCTCCATTTCCTCACCTGTGGATACGGTGATAATATTCCACTTTCCTCTCTATTTCCTAAGCGCAGTAACTCAAATCGACTTTTTAAAATGCTTCAGAATGGTTGATGTCAAATCGGCCATCTCCATATTTGTATTTTGACTGATTCTTGCTGGAGCTTTAATTACAGTAAAACCAACAGGATTTGTCCTTTCACGTCACAGGAGATCATCAGCAAGAGGCTCCGAGTCCCAAGAGCTTAGCGAAGGAGGAGATGAAAAGAAAAAGCGGGATTCTCGGAAAAGCGGCTTTCTCAATTTAATCAAATCCCGGTCCAAATCTGAGCGGCCATCAATGGGCTTGATGACAGAGGAACCCTCCTCACCAAAAGGGGCAGGCCGAAGCCCAGCCGTGGACACACCCAGGAAGGACACGAAGCCAGCTGAGCACAATGGCAATTCTGAACGGATAGAGGAGATAAAAACACCCGACTCCCTTGAAGAGAGTCAAGGAGAAGACGTGGGCAAGGTGGAACGGAGTGACAGCAAGAGCAGCCCACAGGGCGGGCGGAGGTATGGGGTCCAGGTGATGGGCAGTGGTCTGCTGGCAGAGATGAAGGCCAAGCAGGAGAGGAGAGCTGCTTGTGCGCAGAAGGTGAGCGGGGAGCCCACTTTGACTTGTTTGTCTTTGTGTTTTTGCCCCCACTCGGTTTTTATGGGTGAGAAAGAGAGGTACAGAAAAATAGCCTATTGAGTAAATAAAAATCCAAAAATAAAAGACTTTTCCCTAAAGAAGCCAGAGCACAGACCATGAAGGCAGGGCCGTGTTTTCCCTTCGGCACTGGGCCACGCTCTTCCCGAGAGCCGCAGTGTTTCAAGGTAGGTCATTGGCTGGGAGTACTCGGGCTTTTTCACCTGCCCAGGTGCTCCTTGTGTTGTCATAGAAGCATGTGACAGCTGTGCCAGGGAAACGCTCAACTCTGGGGAAAAGACTGAGTCTTGAATCCAAATGGAGACCTGAGGGTGACAGGAGAGGGGACACCTGGCAGAGGCCAATAACAATACTGAAAGCAGATTCTATTTGAAGTATTAGAATAAAACAGTGGACCCTTGATTTTTGGGAAGTAAATGGTAAACTATATACCAGGGTGTGGAGGGCTGTTTTGTATTACTTCTAAACAACTAGTTGTTTTTTCATTAAATCCTGCATCCCACGTGGTTTTACAACTGTTCACCATAGTTCTTCCACCAGCACCATTGTTATCTAGCAATTTCCTAGTTATCAATCCCTCCTAACTCACTCAACCCCTGAAGAAGAGTTGAAGGGAGGGAACCATATAACTATATTCTGCTAATTCAGCGAGAAAGGCATGATGTGGCCTTCACTGGTCAGAATTCTGAATCAATACTGGGACCACATCGTTGGTGAATCAGACGCCCAAGGAAATGTTTAAATTTTAATCCATTTTATAGAATTTCTTAACAACAATGAATGTGCTGTTTTCACTAAAGAGCTGTTTGTTTTGTCGCTGTTTCCATTGATGAACAGCTGCCTTTGGTAGAAAGATGAGAAGTGCTACAGGGTTTTTTCCATGTGCTTTGACTTTGATGTATAAATTGGCTCAAAGTGACAAAATTCTTATGGTTCAGTATTTTTAGTTGTTCAAGGCTTTTACTAATGATCTCTTAGCACCATCTAGTGTCTGTGTAAAACAGCAACAATAATAAAAATTCCTAGTATTTAAAATTTGAACCAGTCAGGGGTATTCCAGCAGAATAATAAAACAATAAGAGGAACTTTTTCAAAAATTAGTTTTAGAATATTTTCCCCTAAAATTCCATGACCATATTCTTTATAAAGTTAGCAACATAAGCATAGTTGTCAATATACAATTAAAAAAATATGTTGTCTTCACTCTCCTCTTTAGTAATTCTCTTTACACTATCCACATTTCACCTGTGTTTAAGGAAAAAGGTCTGTGCAAATGAAGATATGGCATTTATCATGTATTAACAAAGGAGAGTAACAGGTATTGAATGCTTAGAGGCAATATCTTCTTTTGTGGGGCCACCTAGTCAGCTGCCTGCATTCAAAGACAATTGGCATTACGTTATTGCATCCTCATTCCACACTGTCATTTTTGGTATTTATGACTACCTCAGAAAGCCTGGGAGAAAAAAGTAGAAACAACTCCTAGGGTTATATTTTAAATACAGGTAAGGGAGGCACCCAGGGTGCAAAATTTAAGGAGACACTCATTCTCAGGTGCCCGTACTGCATTTGCGTGAGCCTGAAAGGGAGTGTCTCCTTAAAATTGTGCTCTGGCACCTTGCTTGACTCGCCCTCATCCTGACCCTGTATAAATATTCCACGTTATCGTTTTCGTCAGAGCACGGACACACACACTCCTGCCTTCTAAGAGGCTATAAAATGCTAGGACAAGCATTTGGGGACTGGTTAAGCCCAGCCTCTGGACAGCTCAGGCTCAAGGGCTATAGTGCCCCCCTGCTTTGTTGGGCTGGGACATCATGGCTAATGCCTGGCCCTCCCGACACTTGTCCTCGGCCCAGAGGGCTCTCCATGCAGCCCCTGGCGTGCAGCTCCCTTTTGTTGGGATACCTTTTCCATGACGTTGTTGAGTAATATGCCTCTTCTCACTGGCAGACGCGCGTACACATTTCTTCTCAGAGACCTGCTCAGCACCCTCCAGTAGTGAAATTGGAACTTTTGTAGTCTAGCTGAGAAATTCCTCAGCATTCCTGCCACGTTCACCGCTCCCTTCTGATAGAGCTGGCTCTCTTGGCGAGTGTCTGGCTGTGGTAGTTTGGTCAATGGGTCAGATCTCAACTGTGTTTCAAATAACCCTCCTATGTCATCAAAACCAATGTAAAGCTAGGAATCAGCAGCAGATATTTGCCTTTAGCTTTGTCAGAAGCCAGAGTTGAGTAGGAACGGACAAGCTGAAGGTCAGACTGTCTTAGGAATCAGCATGCCTCCTGGTCTACCTGCCCACCTCTTTTGTTTTTTAAGGCAGGAGGTGGACGTGGATCACCCTTGTCAATAGAATTCTTACGTATTACTAAGCCAACACTAGACTTCTCTTTGCAAATCTTTTTTGTATCTAAATGCCTCACTTTAGTGTGGATTTTCTGCACCATAAGGTAGAGGCTGATTCCTCACTTTTTCAGTTACAGCATCTACTCTAAGACCATGGCATTTAACCTTCCTTATCTTTGCCATCACAAACTCCTCCCACCTGCAGAGTTTTAAAGAAGTTAATTCAGACCGGTCTATTTGTGTTTGCCTCCTAAACAATAGATCAATGTGATTCTGCCTCAGTGGCAAGGAAGAGCCTGTCCATTTCAGGCCCCATTCTACCTGTTTTGTACATTGAGTTCAGAAGTGGCTTTGCTGCTTTTAAAACTAGATAATGGAACCCAATCTGGGGAGGGTCCTGTAAACTTAGAGGGTTCAGTTGTCCCCATTGCATGGCGCATCTCAGGCTGCAGAGCCCACAAACGTGTTCAACCAGAAAAACAGAAAACATCACCAAGCCCGCTGGCTTCCCCTTCCCCACCCACACCCCACCTCTCATCTGTGGGGAGCAATCTGAGGAACTGGCCTCACTTTGGATCTCAGAGCCCTGACTGTAAACACAGAATAGAATGTGTTTCTCATAGTTTTGTCCCAGCAATAGAACCTCAGAGAGACAGAGAGTTCAGTGTAACAGCAGTAGAGTTAAGGAGCCATTATTTGTTGTCATTTATTATCTGCTTTGTTCTTTTTCTTACACTTTAAATAAATGTGCACTTTTTCGGTGGGGGTGGGTACTTGAATTTTTTAGAAGCTTGGGAATGACGCCCTCTCCCAAGATTCCTCCAGCCTGGCCTTGAGCAGCACAGAACGGTTGGATGGAGGTGGGGCAGGTAAGTCGGGCCATTACCATCACCTCTGTAGAAAAAACGCTTACCTTCTGGCTCCAGGAGTCACACGTGATTGACAGGAGAAAAATAAAGATGGGGAGGCAAGAATGGGCCTCTGTGTTAACGTGTTCTCAGCTTCCAGCTAAAGGACCATATCCCTTCACCTACGCCAGCTCCACCTGGGGCATGTCTTCCACCACTAAAGCCTTGTGCCTGGACAGGGCACTTTTTCCAGTTTCCCAAAAAGAGGAAACCTCATTGAGAAGAACTCCCTAACTGTGAGCATTTGGGGAGGCAGGGGAAACATTTTGGGGATGTGGCTGATGTTTTTAAAAATAAGCCATACATGGTTTTTGGAAGGTGCCTCTTTTGTTTGATATGAGGTAATGCTCTTCCCTTTCAGCTTGAATATCCGTAAATATCCAGTATCCTTTGTCCCTCAGATTTTCAGGTGTAGTAAAAGAATCAGATACCTTAGACGGAAAGTGGAGAGTAACTTGAAAATTAAATGTTAGAAACTTCATTTTGCTGCTTGAAGTTCTTATGCTTAGCTTTAATATCTTCATGCAGTAAGAGTTGGAATATAAATTGTATTTAACTGGCTTATTTTTGCCACTTGTCCGGTTAAATTAAGGCAGCAAAAGGGATGGAGGTGGGGCCTGAGGTGACATTCCTGGAGCTGTTCTCACTAGACATGAGGTTATGGCCATCAGTATATCCCTCCTCACTCAGGACTCGCACCTGACCCCTCCCTGATTGTTGTCCAGAACTGAGGGGCCTATAGTTGGTTATCCCTGTACCTTGTGCCAGAGCCGAGAAAGATCTGACTGCTTCAAATGCATGAAGAACTCCTGTTCTCTGTGGACAATAGAATGGACCTGTACCCTATTGAATGTAAGGCTCGTCATCTATGAGATAGTCAGGGGCGATCAGAAGAGCACTATCAAGTTTACTGATTTTCTACAAGAATTGTAGTCTTAACGCCAGTATGTTTTGATTCTGAAAACATGCTGGAATGGCGTGTTTCTTTCTAAAATATTTATGATGAGGAATGACAAGGATTATAGCAGTTTGTACCAGACTTCTCCTAGCTTCAAATTATTGGTTTCCTTCAGCTTTGATTTGTAAAGTGTGCTTTTTGTACCCATTTTCATTTTAGTACCTAAACTGCACCCAGGTCTTCCAGAGAACCGCTTCGGTTTGGGAACCCCAGAAAAGAATGCCAAAGCAGAACCCAAAGTGGAAGCGGGCTCCAGGTCTCGGAGCTCTTCCAGCACACCCACCAGTCCGAAGCCCCCCCTGCAGTCCCCAAAACCCACCCTGGCGGCACGGCCCACCATTCCGCAGAAACCAAGAACCGCCTCACGGCCTGGTAAGGGTTTTGCTGGTCAGGCATTGGCCCTGTGACCAGCTGGCTTCTCAGGGTAGCTGGATCGGGACCCCACAGATGATTTCAAGGGCTGCCCGTGGATTTGGGCACAGGAGGGTCTGCTGGATGGGAGTCATGAGAAGCTTGCCAGAGACTGAAAGTGACAAAGGCTAAGGGTTCCTTTATCGAACACCAAGGCCCGCTGACTCAGACCGTCCCTGCGTTCAGGGCTACAGGTCGGAGGGCGAGACCAGAAAAGCAGTGTTGTGTTGTGTTGACCCATTTGTGGTGCCTGATTTACTTTCTGAAATCTGTCTCCAGCGGGTACAGACGCTTCAGAAGGCTGCAGTTTAAGGATGAGGGCCACAAAGAGGGAAAGCATAAGCTTTGTTTTTCTCCTATATTCTGTGAAATATTTAGGGTTTAGAACAAGGCTTGGCAAACTGTGGGCCTGTTTTTGTAAAAAAAAAAAAAAAAAAAAAAAAAGTGATGCTGGCACACAACCACACCGTTTATGTACATATTGCCTCTGGCTGCTTTTGCATTAAAATGGCAGAGTTGAGTAGTTGTGAAGGAGGCCATTTGGCCCGCAAAGCCTAAAATATTTACTACTTGGCCCTTTTCAGGAAAAGTTCGCTGACTCTAGGTTTAGAAAATCTAACGTTAGAAGAAATTTTAATATATTGGAAATGGATTAGGCTCTGCCATATTCTCTTCTGTAACTGCCTCTTTTCCCTAGCAGGTCTTTCTTTTTTCCAATGTTCTAAGAATTTTCAAACATACAAAAGTAGAATGGATAATGCAATGAACCTCTTATCACCTCTTCACTTTAATCCCCCACAAGAATTAGGCAAACAAGGATAGAGATAGATAGGCGGCTTATGCTCATCATCATCATGGTGCTAATCTTGATTGAACGCTTAACTCTGTGCCAGGCAGTGTTCTGAGTGCTTTCAGTTGATGAATCCTAATGTCCTCACCACAGCTCCATCTAACAGATGCAGAAGGGGAGGCACAGAGGCACCAGGTTTGCTCAGTCACACAGCTAGTGAGTAGCAGCCAGATTCTAGGACTCCAGCACCTGTGGTGGTGACCACTCTTCTAGTGGGCCTCATCCCCTGTGGACATGCGTATTAGAAAGTAAGATACAGGGGCCGGCCAGGTGGTGCAGCAGTTAAGTTCACACATTCTGCTTCTTGGCGGCCCGGGGTTTGCTGGTTCAGATCCCGGGTGCGGACATGGCACTGCTTGTCAAAAGCCATGCTGTGGTAGGCGTCCCACGTATAAGTAGAGGAAGATGGGCACGGATGTTAGCTCAGGGCCAGTCTTCCTCAGTAAAATGAGGAGGATTGGCAGTAGTTAGCTCAGGGCTAATCTTCCTCAAAAAAAAAAAAAGTAAGATACACAGCTCATCATGGTCATTCATCAGTATGCAGATGATTTGGGTGCAATGAAAAAAAATGGCAGCATCCCATGTGCCTAAACTTATTCCACTTGTGGATCTTTCTCATTTTCTCTCCAACATTTCTTTCATTCAACAAGCAGGCAGCCTGGTTAATACCGTCTAGTCTTCACAGCCCATTGATCCCTCAAGAAACCTAGTGCAGTCTCCAAAGAGAAGCCACAAAGAAAGGGACACACTGGGGTCACCTCAAGCAAATCACTTAGGACTTCCTAATTCTACTCAAACCTTTTTACCCACCAAAGTTCTTTATGATGGAGAACACAAAAAATCTCTTGGTGCACACAAAGTAGCTTCACAGTGGAAAGAGTGGGGAGAATCAAGGCCAAAAAAATAGTTTTAAAAATTAAAAAAAAAAGATGACTGCTCAAAAGCAGGCTGGCATGACACAGGGAAAGGACATCTTAGGAAGATAAGAAAGAGGAAGCAGAGAAATTCAAGTAAAAGCAAGTAGTTTGAATGGGTTGGAACCTATTCTCATAGTCTTAATGAACTGGCCTTTGGGGTCTGTATTGGTTGACAGGATGGGCATGAGGAATTATCAAAGAATAAGCAATATAAAAAGCTAGGGAAACTACTTGGCTTTAGATCAGAGGTCAGTGAAGGTCAGACAGTAAATATTTAAGATTTTGCAGGCCATACAGTTTCTGTTACAACTACTCAATGGCTAGGTGTGTTTATAATCTGAAGTAAGGAAACAGCTCTTTTAAATGAATCTAATCTAGTTTGTAGAGTATTTTGGCTCTCAAGTTGCTAATGCTGAATATAAAACTAACTGGATTCCCAATATTCTGTTGCTAGAAGTTTTTATTTTAGTTTATTTGGTAAATATATTCCATTATTTTTTAGTACGGTCGTGTGCTGCATAATGACGTTTCAGTCAACGACAGAACGCATATATGACAGTTGGTCCCATAAGTTTAGTACCAGATAGCCTAGGTGTGTAAAGGCTATACCAGCTAGGTGTGTGTAAGTACACTCTATGATGTTCGCACAACGACGAAATCGCCTGACGACGCATTTCTCAGAATGTATCCCTGTCGTTAAACGATGCATGACTATACTTAGTATATTGAGAATTATGTTAACAAATTAATGCTTTTCTAGAGCTTGAGAATTCGGCAGGCATCTTCAAATACACTGTCTCATTTCCTCTCCGCGGTTCTGGGAGATTGTCAAAGTAGGGAGTGTTATTTTCACAGTGTCTTGTCGCATTCCTGCTCATCTAGTGAAGCGTGTAGAAGACTTGGATTGGAAGTACAGGCTGAAGAGAACCTGGGTGAAGGTTGTCTCCTATGCGCGTGCGCACAGACACACACGCACACGCCCGCACACACACGCACGCGCACAGACACACACGCACACACGTGCCAAGTGGAGAATCACCTTGCTGGTAATAGAGCAGAGAAAGGAACACAATTCAGTTAACCTTTCCAATTAGAGTGAAACGTCACAGCCTTTAGAATTAAGAGACTGGAGTTCTAGTCCTAGCTATTTTGCCATCCTTTTAGTTTACCTAGTCATTTAATCTCTTCATTTGGACAGGGGTCGCCAGAGTTCTTCCTAGTTCTAAAAGTCCGTGATCCTAAGTTAATCTTACTGATGTCACTATGTGTATGTCAGTACGTGCACTGACATTCCTGCACGCACATTGTATGTATGTATACGTATAGTGACCACTTTACTGGGTTTGACAACAGGTAAAGGCAGTGGATTATAAATATTATCTATTTTAAGAAAATCAAACAGCCTTTTTGTTTGAGGCAGAAGGAACATTTAGTTCACTTATAGTCTAATTTTCAAATATCGGCTTATTTAAATTCTGTGTCTGCAAGGTGGATTCACATCTGCAGATTATAACCTTTCACAAGTTTTCATTGTTTTTCTCTCTATTGTTTGTGGATATTACTTCACTGACCAGAAACGTAAAACTAGTTTTGGGCAGAAAAATCCTATGTGCTTGTTAAAAATTATTAGTCCTCTGTATTTAAAGATTGATCCAGCTTCTGTTTTAGAAGTCCAGTTTGTGGGGCAGTCTGATTCCTGTGTTTGTGTCTCCACAGAGGACGTCCCAGACTCTCCATCTGGCACCACATCCCCTAAAGTTGCTCTTCTTCCGCCTGTCCTGAAAAAAGTCCCTTCGGACAAGGAGAGAGATGGCCAGAGTAGCCCCCAGCCCAGTCCCAGGACGTTTTCTCAGGAAGGTAAGAAGTTTTTTCTCTGGGTTAGCTCTCCCCACAGAGAGACATTTCAAGAAAAAGGAAATAATCCTGGACTTAACTAAGATCTCAGAGTTTGTTCGAGTCAGCATCTGTTGGGTTAAATTTCAGAACCAGAGCAGTTGCTTAGTTCAGAAACTTAATTCAACATTATCGATGCCATTAGATCTTAATGAAGGAGCATATACCAAGAATGAAAAATGTAACTGAGACACCAGTCTAAAGGGCTAAGTTCTCTGTAATAGTAATCGCTGGATGCTCCGGAAATGGCTCTCAGCATGTTAGGAGTGCTTTAAACATTATTTTGTGACTCATTTGGTGCTACCTGTAGGTTTCTAGGTTCCATTATTTCCAAGAAAAGCTTCCCCTGGTTGTAAATTACCGTTGCTATGGTTCAGGAGCAGCCCACAAGGCCTGAGGGACCTTGTGACTCATTGTGCTTGCTCAGTCCTGAGGTCAGACGTTCCTCATTCTCAGAAATGTGGCACCATCTGGGACACCCTCGGTGTCCCACCAGTTTGCTGCTCCTAATTTGCTGGGGTGGGAGCTGAGCAAGACAATCCTGGGACTTGTGTGCCGTCTCCTAGATCAGATCAAGAGTTGTTATCAGTGGAGGTGAGGTGTGTTTGGGGTGGCTTCAGCACCCCATTTCTTTCACCCACCTCCCTCATTCTGTTAAATGCACAATTAACTTTTGGGTTCTGTCCTTTATAAAGTGTAATGTAATTACTGTCTCTAAGCCCGACCTCTAAAGAAATTCTAGAGCCATGCAATTCATCACCCATGTCCAGATGGCTCTCATTGTTTTGTTTTAGATTTGTTTGATGCTTTAGAGTTCTTTGACCTCTCTGGCTCTGACATCTTCCTACACTGGCCTATTTTCTTTTATTGGTGGTAGTCTTGGGTTGAAGTTAATACAAAGTGTTTCTGAGTACTGTCTTTTTGATTTGGGAGCTTAATAAAAAAAAATAACTCTATCTGCTTTCTCATCTCTATTCTGCAGATTTAGTTGGTGGGTACAAGCTTCACTCACCTGTTTGCTATAAATAAAAGAAGGTGGGGTTTTGACCAAAGCTGGTAAACTACTCTCTCAAACAGAGAAACTAAAGCCATGAAAGGTGGTTGACTCCTATTGTCATTTCACCTGTGGTGAATAACTACAGAGTTTGAGGGGCCAGCCCGGTGGCGCAACAGTTAAGTTCGCACATTCCGCTTCTCAGCGGCCCGGGGTTCGCCAGTTCGGATCCCAGGTGCGGACATGGCACCGCTTGGCAAAAGCCATGCTGTGGTAGGTGTCCCATATATAAAGTAAAGGAAGATGGACACAGATGTTAGCTCAGGGCCAGTCTTCCTCAGCAAAAAAGAGGAGGATTGGCAGTAGTTAGCTCAGGGCTAATCTTCCTCAAAAAAATATATAAATAAATAAATACAGAGTTTGATATTATAGCCCCAGCCTTTGGACGTCTTGGTGTAGAAAGAAGAACCTTTGGTTGTGCTGGATCAGTGGCTTGAGTCAGCAAGTGTCCCTGGCAGCCCTGCTCGAACCACACAGCCCCTCCCTGATTCCTACCCTCATTTCCCTTCCTCTCTGCAACTGCTGATTTTGTGTCTTTACTTATAAGGAAGGGTTGAAAATGCCTGAAAGAATCCTGTTGGAGAGAAATGGGGATGGGGAATGGGGTGGTAATGGTACATAGGAATGCTCATCTTGTTAAAAGCAATTGAAATGTAGAAAGATTAAAAAGAAAAGGTCAGAAGGTTAAATAAAGAATAATTAACATTTTTGAAGAATGATGTTTTCTAGATGCCTATATGATTAAAACAAGGCCTGGAGTAACCCACCAGCCTCATGAGTAAGAGTGTGGCCCACGGAACCTTTGTAGTTAACAAAGTGGGTGAAATACTGGATGTCTCTAGCATGCCCTTAACCACTTTGAAAATGTCACTTGTTCTTTCCCCGGGAAGTTAGAAATGAATGAGTTACTCCTCAGACATTTTAGAACTTCAGGGGGTAGATGTTAGATCCCATTTCTCACTCCCCCCATAGCAAATATTAGGAATGGTTCATGTCTCCATCTTTCCAGGTGGAAGGTAGAAAGTATGGAATTATGGAGACCATTATTTTCCCACCTGGGATCCAGAATAAGTTAATCACAGAGATCATTCTGATGGTATCACTTGGTATTGAAATTGGACTAGAAATATACATGAGGTCTGAAATAATTTGTAAATGTCTGAGGGGGTAAGATTTTTTACTTCAGTTTATCTATCAGCTTGTCCACTTAACTGGCCCAGGAATGAGAGCCACTGGTGAGCCCTTTCTTGCTCTTCAAAAAATGTTCCTGACGTGCTCCTGTTTTCCTATTTTCTTGTACATTATTCATGCTGGTTACTTCATTTCCTTGTTCCGTGCCTCCCTTTGGACTAGCGTGCCCAACTAATTTCTGAAACAGGTAAATTGCTTTGATTCTTCTGGATTATTCCATAGTGAATGTGATTTTCGTTAATCCATCCCGGAATCAAAATGGTAACACTGGGGCCTTTTTGTTACTAACTTTTTGGGGCAGACTCAGAGCTCACCTCATTTTGCACGACATTTCCATAATGTTGGCTGTTGAATTCTGTAGATAACGATGTATCTGTTCAGGACCAACACTGTAGGTTCCTTGAATCCTAAGCGGGGTGGGTAAGCTGATATTTGATTTTTAATATTCATATTTTTTAATATTAATGTCGACACATTGATGTATCTGCTAATATAAAGGGTAAAATGAATCCCTTTTCCTCAGTAGTGCAAAGAGGAGATTATTACAAAAGACATTCAGATCATGACAGTGGCAAGCCTTCCAGTAGAGGGAAAAGATCTTCAAAACTGTACTCCACCATTGCAGAAGAGGAAGTGAATGCAATTGGGCACAGGAAGTCACAGCCAACAAATGGTTAGAGCCTTCAATTATCATCCCTCACTGACCCAAAGCTTATGAACTGGCACTAACACAAACAAACTTTAATTGAGTAACTTCTATCCCGGGACTGGGGTGATTCATACGACTGATTCTTTTCTAAATAGCAACAGGATGGTCCTTTCACTTTGGGCAAAAAGCATTGACTTAAAAATCTAAAATTAGAAATTCTTAAGAGGAGGACCAAGTTACTCTGGAGTATGGTGACTTGTCCTTTCAAATTTTTACCATCATGTAGGTTTATTTTTATCTTTGGGGTCATGTCTCCTATTCTCTTGCTTTCCCTCTTTACTTTTTTATTTGATTTAAACTGGGATCGGATCAGAAATTCTTAGAGTAACACAATTTATACCTTTAGAGAATATTGGCCTAACACCTCACCTTACAGTCCTTAAGAAAAGGATCGATAAAGAGCCAGAGACTAAATGCAGACCTGTGTCATGCACATGATCTTTCGTGGACATTTATGACCCGTTAGTAAGAAAGAAAAGTACCAATTAACTTTCTGACCTCTAGGAACAATTTATTCTATTTTACAGCAGTTACTCTATGACTTCTGTCTTCCATTTGACAAGGTAGTAAATTCTGTGATGTTCTGTTAGGTGAGGACAGTCCCAGGAGACGAAAAGGACAGATTTGAAATTGGCTTTAATCTCCAATGGGAAATTTTAGAACAATCATTGCTGATTCAGAGAGGAAATGTCTTTTCTGTGATGAAGTGCTCATCTCCCTTGTTAGTAACTTTTTATAAACACGACTTGAAAAATCTTTTAAGGGAAATCTTAGTATCATAGAAGAAAAAGAATATAAAATATTCTGATAGGCGAGGTTTCCTTAAAAGACTTCTTCCTTTGGAATGAGGCACTTTCCTTCCTGTAAAACTTTATCGGGGGTTAACATATGAGTGTATTTAGGCTCCCAGGGATTAAGCGCATGGTCCAGCATTCTACCTATAGCTCCAGGCCCTTCACTCCCCTTAACAGGGCACCCCAGATGGCAAGTCAGTGGAAGTGACCTTATTATAGGATTTATTCCAAAAGGATAAACAAGTCTCAAACTTACCACTTTATTATTGATAGTAAACCTCTGTGACCCACCTAGTAGCTTAAGAGCCCAATGAATTATGATCCTCAAGTGGGAACTATTGTCTTTGAGGACTTTTCTTGACATAGATTTAAAAACAAAAACAATAACAAAAAGCATCTACCGGCTCAACAACATTTGGAGTCAGCCTTTTTGGCCAATATGGTTGGATGAGCCATATGCTCCAACTTGTCTGCTGGTCCAGCCCACACTAGCTAGATGATGGGGTGGAGTTAAGGACATGACCCACAGCATAAAGCGAAGTCTATAGGTCACGTAGGGACAGAACATTCTCTTTAGGCCAAGTAGCCCCTGCCCTGGAGAAAACTGACTTGGTCCTTCACTTTTAAAGGATTTCCTGTGTGGTAGACTTGTTTATAGATACATGGTTACAATAACTCTTTTCTCTACAAGAGATTTTCTCTGTGGTTTTCAAGAAAATCTATTATCTTCAAGTCATAGAAAAATTACATAAATGAACAGCTAAGACATTTTCTGAAGAGATGTGGGGGTGGGTTTTTTTTTTGAGTATATTAAATCAGAATCTCTGTCTTTATATTGCCTCTTTTGATAAGAACATCCAAGGTTACATAGATGTTTCTAGATTTTAGAAATTTACATTTGAACTACTCTGTCAGTTGACTTGTATCACTTGATTACTAACAAAGCACTGTTGATGCGATACAATGTTCTTTCTTCAAGAGGCCACTAAAAGCACTATATACAGCACACAAAGAGACCACCCCCCAGTACCACACTCATCATCCAGTAAGGCTTTGAATTAAAATGAAAAGAGGATGAAGACAGAGATAAGCCAAATCATAGGAAGGCAAGAAATTCTGCATCTGTCTCAGATTTTTCCATGACCCCTTTGGCTTAAAATTCTCACTGTGATGGGCTGCAGCAAATTTTGATGGAATTAAATAGGACCATCTTGTATTTGCTTTTCTGCCTTGATTTCTTGAAATACTGACAGGAGCCAAAAAAGTAATTTTTACAGGAGCTTCAATTAAAGTGGTTTTATATATAATATTTTAATTTTGTTTTGTTAGTGCCGATTCCTAGCACTTGCCTGTCTTCAGCTGTGAGAACTACATAGCAGTCTGCTTTCTGAATAGCTCCTGGTTAACAAATAGCATTTAGCAGAGCAATTCTAGTGAACTGTGGTATGCACTTTCCTTTAAGTCTTTCAAGAGCAGCTTTGTTTATGCTGAAACAACTTTCTTATTCTCCTAAATCCTGTATCTGTGAAACAAACAGAGGCTATTGTTCTCAAAGCATGCTGCATATTTTTATCATGATTATTATGTTTTAATTGTGTGACTATTTTAATATTGATTTGACAGATAAGATGCTTGCTTTCTTTTCCTAGAAATATTTGTAACTACGTCTTTTGAATTTCATATAATTTCCTCTCTATATTTAACTATAATCTCTGATGTTTTCATTCTAGCGTGTCCTATTTTCTTAAAGAAAATAGTTGGTTTTGGCTTTGTATGCATTCTAATGTATCCTGCTTGTACAGGCCATCTTATTCTGAGATTCCTTTTATATATGACTTGGTTCTTCCATAATCCAAGCTATAGCCAACACATATTTGGCTGTGGCTTATAGTGTATAAGCCAGTGCTCTCTTCCACTTTTTTCACCAGATCTGGGTTCCACTACCCCTATATGAGTTCTTCAAAAGAAATTTAACAGTTGGTTGGCTTTTTTGGCTCTTGCAGGAAAGTATAAAAAATGAGGGTCGACTACTGAATATTATTTTAAGGTCATCATAATGTTTTCCTCCTGGGAAACATGGATGTCAGCAGAGCTGAAAATGGAGAAAAGCTCAAATTTTCATATGAATTTCTAATTCTGAGTCTATATGCGTGCTTCAGAAGCTTTAAAATTAGCATATATATTTGCATATATATATATATATGCGAAGTCAAATCATCTGCAAGAATGACAGATTTCGAGTTTGAGCCTCTCTGCACCAATTATTGCCCTGTAGACGGGATGTGAATATACATGGAGTTTTTGTGTTGAATTAATTACCTGTTCACTTACTCAAGTATCTTTTATAATTTTTATGGTATGTGGAGTGGTAATAGATGTATAGAGACGCTCCAGCACTTTAACTGTGTGAATACTTGCACTGAAGGAATGTAGGAAAACAATCTGAATTTTTTTTTTCCCCTGTATAAAGTCAGGTATTAAATCAGAGTGCCTAGGAGAATGTTCCTCTGAATTAGTAAAAAGTGTGAATTTTATAAATATTTTAAAATAATTTCTGGCGTTTTTAAGTTTCAAGCAGACATAATCTTATTTAGACTATCCATTAATCTGAGCCTGACCAAAGCTACTTCAATATAATTGGAATTAGCATCCTAATGATATGCAATCAAATAGATGCTGCCTAAGGGCTGAAAAACAAGCTTGGCGAAGCACATTTCCCCTACAAAGTTGTTTGGACTTGTGACCTGGGCTAATAAGAAGGCAGGAGGCTGGAGACCGAGCGCTTTGGCTTCCAAACTCAGCCACTTTAGTTGTCTGGCTTCAGTTGCTTGATCTCGCTATGCCTCAGTTTTCTGTCCGTGAATGGTGCCTCCTGACAATACTAAGGAAATGTCAGCCTGGTACTAGTCTCACCATCACATTCACATTCACAATTGGCAGAGTTTAGTTAACGAAAGTGAACATTTTTAGAATGAATTTTTAAATAGTGTTGCTACTCTAGTGAACTGCTTTGACAGGTCTCTAGAAAGAACATATCATTATTCCTCTCAGTGACTGTGTTGGACAAATTCAAATTTTTGCATTCATGACTGGTAACAGGTCTATGTCACCAACCCAGAAACCAGCCTGTTAACTTGTTAGTGTTTGCTGAATCCTCCCAACTGCCCTTCTTCAGCTCGCTCCCTCCCCGCCCCCCAGCCCTGGAGGACTCAAAAGCCAGTGTCACTTGGATGGAGACTGGAGGACGGTGTACTTTTTGCAGGAAGATTTCTTATATTGGATTCCTCTGAATTTCAGTTAGCTCTGCTACAATGACCCTGGACCAGGGTTATCTCGGTTTTTATCCATGACATAAACATTTTGATGGCATGAATTTCTTCATTTTTAGAGAGGACTCTGATGTCATATCATATAACATGAGTTAGACCTGGGATTTTGAGGAAGCTAAAAGACTAGGAAGGATGAAATGCTTTTTTAATCTAAGAATTTAAGCAAATATGTTTGCTCTGAAGGCAAATGAGCAATGTGTGACCATATTTGTTTCTTCCTTTGAACCTGTCGAGTTGGAAATTTATTTTGAGTCACTTGACGTAGAGGAACACTTATTTTGGTTTTAAAATGGAATGAATAAAATTTTCTAGCAGATTTTACTAGTGAGGCTCTATTTTGAGGTTAGATTATTGCAAAGTGTCTTCAAGATAAAAATATTATAAATCTTCTTGACTTCCTCCTGTTTATAGTACATATAGAAATTGAGAACTTAAAGGCCTCTTTGTGTATTACTATCAAATTGGTTTTATGATATAGGGAAAACTATTTATAGAAAATTATTTACCTTTTTCCCAAAGCCTGGCTTGTTAACAACTTTCAAAGGACCAATCAAACAAGTACATTTAATTTTTTTACTCAGTTCAAGCTAAAAAAATAAAAATCAATTATAATATTTATTCATTGCTTTTCTCCTCTATCTGAGACTTTACTCACAGCTGTTGGGTAAAAAGTCAAAATTTAAAAAAATAACATACTTTTTTGATAAGATTTAAAAGGTTTATCCTTTTCAGAATTTTGGGTAATTTCCGTTTAATGTAATTCACTAAAAATTTAATTTTTTATTGTCTAGAGATCAGCATCTGGCCCAGACAACCAAATGGCAAGAGAAGTACTTTATTATGTTTGCATTTTGACTACTAGGCTTCATGAGCTTTCACTTCCTGAAATGTTAGTGGATTAAACATTTGAATAACTAGTTCCTGGCAAGATGAGTTTTTTAGCATAATGCTAAAATCAAAATGATTAGAAGCATAAATGAATCCTATTGTTTTTCCAGGACTGTGCTCCTGGTTGGATCATTTGAACTTCTGAGTGATGAGGAAGCTGCACGTCTTTTTCAAACCACACGAAGTGTGGGCGTTTGGTAGTTTTAGTGGAAGTGATGTCTGTACAATAGATGTTGTGAGTAATATTTAATAACCTTTAGTAGCCGTGCTGGAGAATGACATCTGAACCCTTTCCCAAGGTATAGTAGCAGTGAAGCCATGATCTAGTTGGAAAGAACATGGGCTTTAGAGAGAGAGATCTAGTTTCTGGTCTTGGAATTCTGCAATCCTGATTCCAAGAGTCAAAACCTTCCTTACAGGGTAGTTGTGAGGAACAGCAATAATAAAATCGAGAGTGCCTGACATGGCCCATCTCAATGGCTAGTTCCAGCAATTGTTCTCCCATCCTTGCCTTGTAAAGTCTCAGTGGATCCTTCAATATTTATATGTAATCTGAACAGGCAACAATAACGGCAATTCTTCTGCCTAGTGGCTGGTTCCAAAAGGATTGAATATGCTGTGGGCAGTACTAATTCATTTTCACAGACTTTTAAACTATTCATTTCCTAAAGAGTGAAACTGACTTTTTTTGTGACACAGAAAGGTCTGACAGAGATCTGCTGGGGCCTTTCCTTATATCCTGTCCCAAAAGCAGAGAGGGTCAACCCTGAATGGTCTGCAGAAGGCATCGAATGGAACATCTGTCCAGCAGTGCCTCCTCAAGGCTGTGTTTGCCCTGTTCTTTCTGCTGCAGAAGGGGGCCGCTATGACTGAGGAGGTCGCCTGGCACAGAGCAGCTTCAGAGCTCTCCTCCTTCCTAGCATCTCCCTTCACTTCCTCTCAATCCTCAGCTTCTGGGGTCCTCCCCCTCAGATTCTCAGCCACATCTATGAGAAGTTTACCCTCTCATAGACTGGGTTCTTTATGTTTTCTTGTATTAATTTGTTTCTGTTTTTGTTGGTTTGTAATTTCTGTCTAGAGTCTCTAAACATAATTAAGTTGTTTCTGAGAGAGTTTACCCTGAACCCTCCCATTCTTAAAGGCCCCTGCATCTCACCCCATCATTGGTCAGGCCATGGGTATTACCTATTTGATAATGACTTCTTCCCTTTCTGTTTCAGCTTCAAGGAGAAGCTGGGGCCAGCAGGCCCAGGAGAATCCAGAACAGAAGCAATGGTCCTCCAGTAAAGATGGCCGTCAAGGCAGCAAATCTAGTGACTCCGGGGAAGAAGCAGAAAAAGAGTTTATTTTTGTGTGAAGGTCATCCGTGCTGAAGTCTTCTTGTGCAGGGTGCTTTTGTTAGCCATCAGAGAGGAACCAAGGGCAACACTTCTTCCTACTTGCTAGGCGCTCTTCTCTTGGTGCTTTTCTCTTTTCCTTTTTCCTTTGCTTTTTTTTGGAAAACAGAAACAGATCCATTTCTTGGTAATCAAAGCACATTTGTTTGGTCTTCTCCCAACCCTTGCCATTTGATTTCTAAGCATTCCTTCATATGCCTTCCACAAATGCCAGCAATTATCCCCTGGGCCCTACTTGAATTTCTCTGAGGCAGCTACAGTTTGCCCTGCAAGATGAGTTTTTGGAGAAAAAGTTAACTGGACACACACACAAGTAACGCCATCCAGCTGACTGGGGTACTGCTGCATGTACCTGTGTCAAGTCTGCACTCGACTCCATAGAGCGATTTATTCTTGAGGTATGCAATTGCACATTATAATTATATTAACAGAGCACACTAATAAATAATTTGTATAAATTATATATATTAGATCTTGGGTATGGTTTTTACATTCTCCCATGGGGAACTTCTTCCTTCCTGATGTGGAATTGTAAATTTAAACTTGGTCGGTGACCTTTGCAATACCATCAACAAGCACAGTGAAGAACAAAGTGAAAGAGGCCCACGGCTGGTTCTACCAGGTGCCCAGATTAATGTATATAGTTGATTGGAATGAGGTTTTATGAATATTCGTGTTTTTTTGAAGGCCTTTAATTTCTGTCTACATATTAGCTTTTAACGTGTGATTTTAAGAGAGAAAGCTTTGACACCTGTAAAAAATCAAAATACTACTCTTTTTAAGACATTTCACGAATATTCACTTACATTACAGGCTGAAGCTATTTTATTCATATGTATATTTATACCAATAAAATGATTTTACAAGCGGAATTTTGACCTTCTCCAGTTACTTTTTCTAGTTAGGATTGGCTTGTGGTAATGAACTTTCTTTGGTTTCCAGAATCCAAAATAATCACGGTTCCCAGATAATCAAACCTGTTACATTCAAAATAAATGTAATTTGCTAATTCCATTACCTTTGGGAAGAAGATGAATTTTATCAAAAGGTTATCATATTATGAGTTTGATCCAGCTCTCATTACCTCAAATCAGGGGTCATTTAAGGGATGCAAGCGTGAACTATGAAGTGTGATTTGAAGAGTCGCAAGCAGTGTGGTTGTCTGTTGGAAAAAAGAATCATAGAAGGTGGGGCTTGTGTGACATGACTGTTTTCCTCATTATTCCCCCCACCCCAACCCCCACACACATTCGGGTGCCTGGCATAGACTGAATGCTGGTGAATATAAACTGAATGGTTTGCTGCCATTGCATGAGATTCTATGAGGGTGTACAGATACAGGATTGTTTTCTCCAAATGTAGGTCTGCTGTCATCAATGCTGATGGGAACAGACACCTCTAATGGCTGTCAAAGTAGAAGATGGCAAAGATGGGCATCAATGAGCAAACGGGCTGTGGGGAGGCAGATACATAAACCAACTAAGTAGACTACAGTGTGATCGAGCCCACATTTGTAATAAACAGTGCTGTGGAAAGGGGGATTAGTTCTGTCTCTGATGCTCAGGAAGCCACAGAGGAGGTGACATTTGTGCAAGGCCTTGAAGTAACACCTGCATAAGTACAGAGACTTTGTCTGATTCCTAATTATACCCCTCAAATGTTTGGTATGACTCATATTAGACCATAGGGAGTGGTAGGGAGATACAGAAAGTGCTCCATCTAAGGGCAATCAAGTTCACATTCAGTTAGAATTCTTTGTGGTAAGAACCACACCTGAAACCTCTCCCTGGATTTCAGGATAGGAGCTGTTCTTGAGAGAAGGGAGAAGGCCACATAGTGAATAGCCTTGGTGCTTTATTAAGGAGTGGAACTTGACTGTCTACAGTAAGAGCCATTGCATATTTTTAAGCAATAATGTAAAGAACTAGGGCATATACAGAGAAACACTATGGACTGGAGGCAAGTTTCCAGTGGAGTGGCCAGCAAGAATCCGTAAGTTTCCCCTCATTGTGATGATCAGGAGGTGCCCACCCAGGCATCCCTTCAAGACAGCATGCTGTGGGGAGCATGGTCGGTTGACAGCCTCCAGCTGCTGTACACTGAGACCTGCTGCTGTGGTCATACTGAGGCCATGCGACCCCCACTCCTCCAGCTGCTCACAGGCAACCACTGAGAGTGGCTGGGCCCCTAGAGCTGGGCCATTCCTGCCCAACACAGGGCTTCTCTACTGGGCAGTCTTTGCTCTAGGACCTTCCGTTGGCCTGACGAGACTTTCTCAGAACTGCACTGAAGTTCTTCCTACCCAAGTCTGCTCTCCTCTCTCCTTTCACAGGTGATCAGCCAACATCATGGTCTGAGGGTGCTCCCTGCCTTCTCCCTACGCTTATCCTTCACAGACGTTTCCCCCAATTAATCTTCTGCATTCTAATCTCCTCTTCACGTCTGCTTCTTGGAGAACCTGAACTGATGCACTCACTCATATCTTGTCACCACCAATCAAGTTCAAGATCATGGATGTGTATCTGCTGAGCTGAGGGCTAGTGGATTTCTCCAAAAGTATATGGGCTTTCGTGTTTGTTTTGTAAATGTATTAGATAGAATTTGTGTCTTAGTCCGTTCTGGCTGCTATAACGAAAGTGTCATAGACTGAGTAGCTTAAACCACAAACATTTGCTTCCCACAGTTCTGGAGGCTGGGAAGTCCAAGATCAAGCCCTTGGCAGATTTGGTGTCTGGTGAGGTCTTCCTTCATTCATAAAAGGCTATCTTTTTGCTATGTCCTCACATGGTGGAAGGGACAAGGGAGGTCTCTGGGGTCTCTTTTATAAGGGTACTAATCCCATTTGTGAGGGCTCCACCCTCATGACCTAATCACCTACTAAAAGGCCCCACCTCCAGATACCATCACATTGGGAGTTAGGGCTTTAATATATGAAGTGGGGGGCAGGGGATACAAACAGTCCATAGCAATTTATAACATTTATTTATTCTTTTTTTGAGGAAGAGTAGCCCTGAGCTAACATCTGCCACCAATCCTCCTCTTTTTTTTTTTCCCCCTGAGGAAGATTGGCCGTATGCTAACATCTGTGCCCATCTTCCTCCACTTTATATGTGGGATGCCTGCCACAGCATGGCTTGACAAGTGGTGGATGGGTCCATACCCGGGATCCAAACCAGGAAAGCCTGGGCTGCCAGAGCAGAGCACATGAACTTAACCACTGGGCCAGCCCTGATAACATTTGTAAATTTATAATTTTTCTTGAACAATACCATCAAGGCAGAGAGTGGACTGATTGGCTTCTTGAGGTCCTTTAGAACTTTGACAAACCAGACCCCACCTCAATTCCAGGGACCCTGTAAAGTGCAGTGGAAGTGAAGAGAGCAGAGCAGGAGCTGCGTGTCCCAGAGAGCTCACTCAGGCCAGGTGACAGGGGTCTGATGGGGTGGGGGCCAGAGTCTCCCAGAAAATCCTGAGACTCTGTGAGTTGAGTAAACTACTGCTAAGAGGAGCTGGAAATCTTCACAGAACACTAAACTACAGATCATGATTTTCCTGTTTGTGCCGTGTGCAAGCCCTAAGCTAAGAATGAGGTGATAATTCACACTGGATCTCAGGTACACTAAGCAGGCGCCAAATAATCCTGGAATCACTTCTTTCTGTTTTGGGGATGCATTCGTTGTATGGCTACATGGGGCAGGCTGACCTCCCAATTTTATTTTTCCTTAGTTTAACATTGGTCAGTCTGGGTCTACTAGCACGTGCCATTGGCTAGCCATCAGTCAAGCGTGTGTCAGGTGTTAGAAGTCAAATTGCAATTAAAAATTGGTTACTGAAAATCCAGGAAAAGGATAACCGGCACCTGGTTTATGAGGATGGGCGATCTGCCTGCAGTAACAAAGATGTTCTCATGCCTTTGACCCTGCCCTGTGCTCGCTCATTTCCTCATGTGACCCAGCTTTTGTTGACTGTCCATTTTAACTCTCCGTTTGCAAAATAGTATTCCCAGAGAAAATAATTTTGCACACTTGGGAAAATAGAATGATACATTTTCTTTCGCAAAGAAGAAAGAAATGAAGAATTACAACAGGAAATCTCCGGACAGTGCTGATTTTTCAACAAAGTTACACCTGTCCTCAATCCCAAGTGTGAAAAATCCTAAATTGAGATGGCCTTGAAAGGAGTTTTAACATTTCTTACTTGCTAGATTGAAAGCACTGCCCAAGTGTGACCCTGCAGTAAAAACCACATGGTGTTCATTCTCTCTGTCTGTATCGCTCATTGCTTTTTTCATCAGAGCGAGAACATTAACCAACACCTTCTACAGCTTGTGCAGGGAGCCCAGTGGGGAGTCCTGGGAGAGGGTTGTGGATTGTGAAGCTGACTCATTCCCACTCTCTTTAGAAGGTGCTAAGGAAGTGGTAGAGGTTTCACACCCTCACTTTTGTCACTGACGTGTTTGGGGTCCTGGCTTCCTAGGTTACACACTCCATATAGTAACCTACCTTCCTAACATCCGTAGCCCAGAACCCAACCTCTTGGCCAAACTGCTGAAAACCAGAGGAAGGAAGCGAAGTAGGGAGGACAAAGGCAGACAGAAGGATGAAGAGAAAGAACGTATTTTGGTCTTCTCTCTCTTGTGTTTTGATTTTTTGTTTGTCTCTCCTAAGCTTTGACTGGATGTTGCAGAACTATAAATGCCATGCTTTGAGGCCGGCTGGCCCTCACCTCCTCTCCTCCTTCACAGTACAGTCCTGGGGCTGAGCAAACTGTCTGCTCACTGAGCTGCATTATTTTAACATCTGAGTCCCCTGCAACTCTTACACACTGTGAGTGACAAAGCTGAGAGCAGGAGCAGGCTCGATTCACTGCAATGGGCCATAAGTTCCACCTGCCGGCGCCATAATTAGAGTTAAGATCTACATGGCGTTTGTCTCACATGCAGACATGGGAGAGCAGCGAATTTGGCTTCTGTGTGAACGGTCAGCTTCAGCCTGGGGCCAGGGGAGTCTGCCTGGGGTTTGGAATGTTGGTCACTGTCAGCCACAGTTCAAAATGTAGAGCAAAGCATTTAGGACCCACAAATTGCATCTTAGGATTTCTTATCCTCAGGTCGGATTTTACCTTGTTTCGTAACCACGCCTTGAATTTGTAACTTCCTTTGTAAAGACAGTTTACACAGAGCTTAAATCTCTAAGCCATTCCTGAAAAATTTCTCATGAATTAGACCCTCCCCAGTTGGAGATTTTTCAAAATTGGTGGAGATGAAATGTGTTTTCTCTAAGAGCACTATCTATGCAATTATGAAATGGTGGCAAATTTGAATAGAATGAGGGTAATGCACTTATACTTTCTAGTTATAACTTGCATTAGATTCAACTCAAAATGAGATTGTCGGTTACACTGTATGCGCTGTTTACACTGTGGGCCTGTTCCATGCATTCACACCCAACCCGGGACTTCGAAATTGGGCACAACTCTGTACCTCCCTTGTTATATGGTGATCATGAGGTCTTTTTTGACAATAAAAGCATACATTTAGCCTTAGTTTCTGAAGGTGTGAAGGAAGAAATCATTTCAAAGACAGAAGCAGTGTCGGGGTGGCAGACACACCGAGTCGTTTACCGTGTGATCAGAGGGGCCTGGCTGCAGACACCACTGCTGGGAAGCTGTGCTTTGCTCCCAGCTGTTGAATCCCTGCAGAGAATTCAGAGAGGAACCGTCCATGGAGTCTTCCATAGAGGGGGGTCCTTACCCATGGCAGGCACCATGGAGGAGGAGCCCTGGAACAGGGCCTGCAGAATGGGAGGTGTTGGTGCAGGGGGCACTCAGCTTAGGGACATTCCTAGACCAATCCAAAGGGTCAAGAGGTCAC